CATAGTATATCCTAGGCAACAACATAGCGCGTTATTTAAATTCACCTGATGAGTGTGGCAAGACTCGTCTTGTCATACGAAACAAATTTGTAGTGAAATAAAAGTTCATACGAAGTAATTCAAGTTTGTCTTCTAATCTAATCTTATCAGCTCTACTACGGTATTGAGAACTCTACTCATATATGATTCCAAAGGCGCAGTGCCTCATCTGTGTAGTGCTGATGAGTAGGATGAAAGTAACTAGTACTAATAGTTCCCTTAGATGCCTCACGAATGTGGGACATCAAACCGTGCCAGAGTGCTCAAAGTGCAAGCAGTGAGCGTGCGCACAATGCGTTAGCGGCAATGGCTCATTGATTTAGGACGAAAATTAGACGGAATTCTTGCATTTCAATATATCTATATTTTTTTGTGTTGGTGTTGTCAGTACTCAGGTGAATAATACGATGTTTGTGATGTTACTCTGAGTGCATATCCACACTGGGCGAGCTGGAAAACTATGCCCGGCGACGGTGGGAATCGAACCTACGACCTTTGGAATACTAGCCCAATGCTCTGCCAACTGAGCTACACGGTCAGGACGGTTCGAGTAAGTGATATTTCGGAACAGAATCTAGTTCCTTCGATACCAATGTAATCTAGTAATATGATTTTTTCTGTGTTGGTGTTGTGTACTCAGGTGAATAATATGATGTTTGTGATGTTACTCTGAGTGCATATCCACACCGGGCAAGCTGGAAAATATGCCCGGTCACGGTGGGAATCGAACCTACGACCTTTGGAATACTAGCCCAATGCTCTGCCAACTGAGCTACGCGTATCTATTGGTATCGCGAGCTATTGGTATCGAAGGAACTAGACTCTGTTCCGAAATATCACTTACTCGAACCGTCCTGACCGCGTAGCTCAGTTGGCAGAGCATTAGGCTAGTACTCCAAAGGTCGTAGGTTCGATTCCCACCGTGGCCGGGCATATTTTTCCAGCTCGCCCGGTGTGGATATGCACTCAGAGTAACATCACAAACATCATATATCTATATTTTGTTTACCTTAGCTCAAGTGTTGGTTTAATATTCTTGCATTTCAATAAATCTATATTTTGTTTACCTTAGCTCAAGTGTTGGTAAACATGTTTCTAATTGGAAATATATTCATAAATATAGGTAATTATAGATAAAACGGAAAACAACGATTTTAACACGGTTGACACGGTTCCGACTCTAACGGTTGACAAGATGATTATAGGACTTTAATATGAATTTTGCAACGGTTGATGGTTGACAGCATTGATAAAAAAATTATATTAAATATTATTTTTTATTATTCTCAAACTGTCAACCGTTCATCCTAAAATCCAGATTATATAGCTAAAATGGAGTGTCAAGTGCTGTTGTCAACCGTGTGTCAACCTTGTGTCAACCGTGTCAACCGTTGCTAGCTTGATATCATGAAAACATTAAAGTCGGTACTTATTATTTCAACACGAGACACCGATCATACTTTAGTGGAAATTGTACTCAAATCATCCAGCATAATAACATGAGTTTCCAGTTTTAAACCATAATAACTACAATCGTGATTGTTCCTCTAAAATATTCTTTCTCGTACCCAGGCTACCCTACATATCCAATATTACGATACGCAACGAATGGTAAAAATGTTTTAACCATCGGTAAATACGAATACCGATTCGTCACCTGCAGTGCCAAAAGAAACATGATCTCATTATTAGGATATTCACCGACGGTATGCCGCGGTGATAGGATTCACAATCTGTCATCTGCAGTGTCAAAAGAATCATGAAGAGATGAAACATAATCTTATCTTAATTGACGAGCACTGCAGGCTTACTATAACGCCTGGATATCACTTCATGAGTTTGCTTCGTTTTTAAGAAACACGCTTTTGACGCTTTATATAAACGCACTGACATTTGAAACACCAGATCGTGCATTTAAATATTATATGTCTACATGAGTTTGCTTCGTTTTTAAGAAACATGGTTTATATATACGCATTGATATTTAAAACACCGCAGTCCATGCATTTAAATATAGGCTATATGTCTTCATGAGTTTGCTTCGTTTTTAAGAAACACGCTTAGTTATATAAATACATTGATATTTTGATATTTAAAACATTACTCCGTGAATTTAAATATATAGGCTACGCATTGATATTTAAAACACCAGTCCGTGCATTTATATATGATATATGACTTCATGAGTTTGCTTCGTTTTTAAGAAACACGGTATAGGCTATACGCACTGATATTTAAAACACCAGTCCGTGCATTTGACTTCATGAGTTTGCTTCGTTTTTAAGAAACACGGTTTATATAAACGCATTGATATTTATTAAAACACCAGTCCGTGCATTTAAATATGATATGTCTTCATGAGTTTGCTTCGTTTTTAAGAAACATGGTTTATATATACGCATTGATATTTAAAACACCAATCCGTGCATTTAAATATGATATGTTTTCATGAGTTTGCTTCGTTTTTAAGAAACATGGTTTATATATACGCATTGATATTTAAAACACCAACCCGTGCATTTAAATATGATATGTTTTCATGAGTTTGCTTCGTTTTTAAGAAACACGCTTTATATAAACCCATGGATATTTAAAACACCAGACCGTGCATTTAAATATTATATGTCTACATGAGTTTGCTTCGTTTTTAAGAAACATGGTTTATATATACGCATTGATATTTAAAACACCGCAGTCCATGCATTTAAATATGATATGTCTTCATGAGTTTGCTTCGTTTTTAAGAAACACGCTTAGTTATATAAATACATTGATATTTTCATATTTAAAACATTACTCCACGAATTTAAATATATAGGCTACGCATTGATATTTAAAACACCAGTCCGTGCATTT